CTTCAGACTTGGTCTCTTAGGATCATCCACAGGTACCTATACTGTAGATAGGTCTTAGTCATCAGGTCTACTCCACTTCCTTGTTGCCTGCTTAGACTCTTGGCACTCTTAGGTGAGCAGACTTAGTCAGCCTGTGTTGCCCTAACAGATGGTTGACAATGTTTTCATAGCTTCAAAGTACAAGTTGGCCAGTTTGAAGCTACAATTTGATGCGAAATGGCATGGTTAACAGATCTAGAGTGGTCCCAAACTACCAGAGACCTAGGGGACAGATACCAGGTAGACTGACAAGATCCTGCGAGCCATCCAAACCCAGTGTACCCACACTAGACCATGCCGGAGCACAACTACACAACAAGCAAGCCAGAAATCTGACTTGGAACAAAAAGGCAAGAGAAGAGAAGCAGACATTGCCCATCTGACATCAGACATCAGACATCTGAGCACGAGGCAGCAGGCAGAAGACAGCAGACAGTGACCTGGCCTGGGGTTGGGCTTCCATTTGACTCACAATCATGAGCTGGTGGGCAGACTGTTTTGTCAGGGGGGGACTTGGCGCAAACAGCTAGTGGGTATGGGATGTGGGATGTGGGATGTGAGATGTGGGATCCACCAAGGGGGGAACTTGTCCTAGAAGCACCGACCTCAACCTCAATTCTGACCTCGACTGCCACTGCCATTATTTCTTCCAGGAAGGCAGGCTGTCCTCTGCACAGAATGAAAATGAGAATGAGAATGAGCAGAGTATGCAAGAAGGCCAGGATCAGTATCAGGCTTCAGGCTTCCCTGGTTCTAGCTGACTTGACCTCTTGATGTGCATGCACACCTGCAGCTTGCCAAGGTGACTGCTTGCCCAGGGTATGATGGAGGCATTGATGCACCGATTTGGTCACATGTTATCCAGAGTCCAGCCCAAGTTGATCTGTGTTGTTCGGATTCATCCTGCACCTGGAAAGTGGGAAGTTCTAGCATCCGAGTTGGTTCAGTTCAGTTCTGCTTGGGTTGGTTTGGTGTATGGCAGGTTAATGCAAAGAGAAAGTCCAGGGGGTTGTCTTGCCTTTGCACTGGCGCCTATCCCTGTTTAGGAGGGATGCACATGCTCACAATCTGAGCTGGGCCAAGTCCGGATGTACACAAGATTTGTCCATAGTGAAGCCGATAAGCTCAGTCCCGGTGTTGTGGTAAAGAACGTCAATTGGCCATCGGTGGTTATTCATTTCCCTTACAGTGGGCTGTCTCAGAATAGGAACGAAGAAGCGCCGATGGGGATGCTGGGATAACACCGATGTTTGTGGCTGTGTGCCGAGAGGAGGGAAGGTGGTGCGTTGAGCATGAGGCTAGTGCGCCCTCTTTGATGGAGGGATGTGAATGGGTCAACTTATTGTTCATCTGGTGTGTTGATGTATATTATGTATGTGATGACGTAGAGTGAGTAGGAGTGTGGTGGCAATAGTCAGAGAGAGAGATGCTATTCCTGTGATTAGTTGTGCCGGTGTAATCGGACCCATCAAAGGTTAGTGTAAGACCCTTCGTGTGTTGTGAACATCCCTCTCACTCTCCCCTGTGTGGGTACATCCATCCCCCCTTTCTCACCATGCAGTCCTACTCCTCCTCCCCATATCCCTCGACACCCGCTCTCCATCCTTCTCTAAACACTCCAGATCAATCAACAGAATCAGCCCCATTCATAGGCTTTCCCCCAAACCCCTCCTCACAACCTCTGCATCTCTCATCAGCAGACTACTACAACCAAGAGATGCGCCAGCTAGGCACAAGCACGAACTACGCCTACGAACAGCCTTACACGCAGAGGGGGAAACCGCTCCCCTACACACCGCAGAGGAGGAGGAGCAGGGCCTTCTGGTGGATCATCGCTCTTATCGGTCTGGCGATCATAGTCCTCGCAGTCGTCCTCCCCGTATACTTCACAATCGGCCGGCACTCCAGCTCCAACTCAAGTTCCGGCACCGGCACCGGCTCAAACGGGTCAGGCGCAGGCGGCGGTTCCGGAGGAGGAAGTGCACAGCCAGCACCAGCATTCAACGGGCCTATATCCGGAGGTCAAGGGAGTATCCTCACGTTCTCCGACGGGTCTACCCAAGTGTATGGGAACCCCTTCGGGGGGATGTGGTACTTTGACCCCGGGGAGCCGTTTGCGGATTATGCACAGGCGCAGAGCTGGACGCCGCCGTTGAATGAGAGTTGGAGATATGGAGTGGACTTGATCAGAGGGTGCGTCCGACTCTCTCAAACAGGAAGAAGTACTAACCTCTTACACAGGGTAAACCTCGGCGGCTGGTTAGTCCCAGAACCGTTCATCGTCCCCTCCCTCTTTGAACAATACCAATCTGGCTCCTGTGCTCCGCCGTATAACGCACAAGACGAATGGACGCTCACGAATTGCATGAACCAGAATGGGAACGCGACACAGTTGATGGAGGAACATTATCAGACGTTTATCGTGCGTCCCCTTACTTCCCCGGGTGCTCGCGCGCTGACCCCGTTCGCTCGCTCACTTGTAGACCGAAGCAGACTTCGCAGCCATAGCCAGCGCAGGGCTAAACTGGGTCCGTATCCCCGTCCCATTCTGGATGATCTCCACCTACTCCAACGAGCCCTTCGTACCGCACGTCTCCTGGACCTATTTCCTACTCGCAATCCAGTGGGCCCGGAAGTACGGCCTAAGGATAAACATGGACCTCCACACTCTCCCAGGGAGCCAGAACGGGTGGAACCATTCTGGCAAGCTGGGGCCTATCAACTTCCTCTTCGGTGTGATGGGGATCGCGAATGCTCAGAGGGCGCTGAGTTATATTCGTACCTTGACGGAATTTGTTGCGCAGCCGCAGTATGCGGGCGTCGTACAGATGTTTAGTATCGCGAACGAGCCTTGGATGCCTGTGATCGGTCAGCACCAATTGCAGAACTTGTGAGTCCCCCCCCCCCGCCTTTCCCCTCTCCTGGTGCGCCCCAGCACCCGCACCCCCGCTGACGCACATGCAGCTACCTAGAAGCTCACAACATGATCCGCAACATTACCGGCCTCGGCCAAGGCCCGTTCATAAACATCCACGACGGGTTCTCAGGCATGCAACTCTGGGCCGGCTGGCTCACCGGTTCAGACAGGATAGCACTAGACACCCATCCGTACTTCGCGTTCAACGCGCCAGCCAGTATCGCTCCTCCATCTAGCTTTGTCCAAGCCCCGTGTTCGGGTTGGGGCCCGGAACTGAATGCTTCTATGGTGCAGTTTGGGTTCTCGATGGCGGGGGAGTGGAGTGTGGCCCCGAATGACTGCGGGTTGTGGGTGAACGGTGTCGGCCTGGGAAATCGGGTGGAAGGGACCTACCCGGGTAGTACAGCAGTAGGGAACTGTACGACTTCAGACGCCTGGGAGGAGTGGGACGCAGACTATAAAGCCGGGTTGATGGGAATCGCACTTAGCTCGATGGACGCTCTCCAGAACTGGTTTTTCTGGACTTGGAAGATCGGGAACTCCACAGCAGGGAGAGTAGAAGCACCCTTTTGGAGCTACAGTCTCGGTCTTGCGAACGGCTGGATCCCGCCCGACCCTAGGCAGGCAGTGGGCTATTGCGCTGGTACGGCTGGAGTGCCCATGAATGAGCCGTTTGATGGGGTGTTGTCCGCTTGGCAGACTGGTGGCCAGGGGGCGGGGACGATTGCGGTTGATCAGTTGGCGAGTTATGGACAGTGGCCGATCGAGAGCATGAACAGTGTCTCTACATCACCTTACCTCGCACCGTCCGACGTGGTCAGACTACCGCAGTACACACCAACAGGGGCAATTCTCACCCTCCCCGGACCAACATTCACGACCCCAAGTAGCACCCAAACTGCAGACGCGGGGGATGGGTGGGTAGACGAGCAGGATCAGGGAGGGTATTGGACGCCTATTGGGGGATGTGGGTATCCGGATCAGTGGGTTGCTGTGGGGGTGGCGATACCTACTGGGGGGTGTGGGGCGTTGGAGCGCCGGGCAGGGGGGGAGGAGGTGGGGGGCGAGGGGCGGGGGGCGAGGCCGACGGAGGCGCCTTTGGGACGTTGAGCGGCGAGGGGGGGGGGGATGGGGTTGGGGGATGATGGGGGTTGGTTGTGGTTTGTGAGCTCGGTGTTGGCCTGGACTTGTGATTTCCTATCTTACTTTTCCTTTCCCCTTTCCTTTCCCTTTTCTTTTCCCTTTCCCTTTTCCTTTTCCTTTTCCTTTTTCTTCCCTTTTCCATTTCTTTTCCTTCCCTTTCTTCCCCCTCCTCCCTCTCTCTCCCTCTCTCTCTCTTCCTCTCTCCCTCAGTCCGTCGCTCTACTAACAGCAGACGCACTCTGCACTCTGTTGACCCACCGGACACTTCCTCCTGCAGTGACGGATACTCATCCGGTGTTATCAAGGACACTATGACCCTATAAACTCCCTCTGTACGTAGCTATGTACGTGTGTACTTTGTAGCTATGTATCTTACACTTTGATGAACGAACACTTTTGGGCAGGCACTAACAGGACCAGCTCTGTTTTGGCCAAGATGGGTGACCTCCACAAATCAAGACAATCCCTAAAAGAGAGCAGAACAGTACTCAGTACTAGTGCGGCGGAGATTCGTCCTCGTTGGCGCACAGCTGACTCAGACTCCGTCGGTTTTTTTTGGTCAATCTGTGATGCACCGGTTTGACCTGGTTGGTCGTTAGCATGGCTGTACGGTCACGGTCGTGGGATGATATCATCCCCGACTGGCTGACAGTACCCATTGTCAGGCTTGGGAGTGAATAGCGCCAGTGCTATCTCAGGCAAGGCTGCAGTCTGCTATTCAGTTGCAAGGCGAACAGGTTGCGTGCGAACCTGTTTCCGGATTCAAATAATGTACGCTGGCACCGAAGGTCATTAACCTACGGTACCGCCTACCAAACCGGCGTTTCCTAGACCAACAATCAACAATCAACAATCGCTTCGTTCATTCAATGTCCAGCATCGCCCTGATCCGTCCAGCTCTGCAAATATTAAAGTTGGATTCCGAGACCCTTCCGGACGCAGGCATGACGGAGCATGATGCGGACCGTTTGGCGCGCGCACGTCGGAGTGCCATTTCGAGCTTGCTTCTCTCGGCCGTCCGCACGTCGCTGGCTCAGGAGAGTGCTAGTAGAGGACCAAACGCTCGTTCCTCAAGATGCACGGAATTCACGTGAGTCTCCTCGAGCTTCTCCGCGGGCGTATGCGTAGAACCGTCCTCGCTGTTATCAAGGCCGTAATCGGACGTGTTCGTTGTCGACTTCTGATGAGTAAGGAGTCTGCCTCCCCGCCTGCATGGGCGGCTTCAGTCAGCTTGGTTGGCGGTACATATAGCCCGTCTGTCAGTTAGACATCGAGCCAGCGTATCGCTCTGCTAATCTCCAGCCGTAGCATGTCGTCCCCCACGCTCGATGGCCCGAACCTGATCGGGATCTTCCTTGGTTCCATCCTTTATGGTTTGTTGCCTGTACGGTTTGTGCGGTCTTTTGCTCACTCGATGCAGGGACGTTTATGGCCATGTCCGTTCACTTGCTTTGGCGCTGGTGGAGGCGCGAGATACGAGTGCCGACATTCTTGCTCCTCGCGTCTGTGGCGCTGTTGCTGTCGACAACAGCGTTCACAGTAGTATTCATGGACTACTTGTACGAAGGCTTCGTGACGTATCGAGACACGATCGGCCCAGTCATGTACTTTGCCGAAGATCGATGGCAGGAGACTACCATCTCCGCCTTCAACATCTTTGAACAGGCACTGGCGGATGGGATCTTAGTGAGTCGGACAGTCCCTTCCGATCGCTTCGCTGATGTGTGGCCCAGGTGTACCGTTGTTGGCTCATCTGGAACAAGAGCAAGTTCATCTTGTTCATCACGGCACTTCCCTACATCTCTTCCATCCGTAAGCATACCTCGACGCTTGTTCTGTATCAGAAAACCTCACCTCTCCAGTCTTCTCCTGCATAGCGCTCGCGGCCGCATCTCCCTCAGGCGAACTGTTCAACATGTTCAAAAGCACCTTCGCAACCTGGGTTCATATCTGGACAGGAGTCTCCCTGGGACAGAACGCCCTCACCTACCTGCTCATCATTGGCCGTATCTGGTACACAGCGAGGCAGTCAACCTCGGCGTTCGGCAAGACGTCGTTCACACCGGTGATCATCCGGCTCTTGTCGATGGGCTGCATGTATCTGCTCTTAATTACTTTGCTGCTCGTGGCGAACTTGCATTCGAGCGGCGGGTATGTCGTCATTTGCCATATCGTGCGTGTTTCCCCAGAGTTTCTCGTGCTAGACTGATGAGGGCATCATACCCCCAGTGGTCTCCTGTTTCGGTGAGCATCCAACACCGGTATCCTTGCGGCTACCGAGGAGCTGACTTGCAACAGGGAATCGTATTCCTCTCCCTTATCGTGCCTACAAAACGACTGTCAAAATCGAACCTCGACCATGAGCTCTTACAATCTCCAAGAAGTGGGACGGCGCGTCGCACGTTAACGCTCAGTGGAAGCACGGTCCAAGAGGACGGAGTTACGAGTGTGCCGTCGGAGTTTAAGGTTCCTGACGTGGAGGAGTTTGTGTAATAGAGACGAATGACGACAGGGCTTCCTGTGCTGGGCTGCTACAGGCTGGGGGGGAGGGGAAAAGAAAAAAAAAGTGGGGGGGGGGCAGTGGGTGTGTTCGTGCTAGAATTGGGTCAGCGGAGGATGGGCAAATGTATTGGTAGGATACCTCACGAAGTTATCGGATATCCCAGGTGATCGAGTCTTGTTAATGATATTCATTATAATTAATTTTTGAGCACAGAAGTTTACTCCGCAGAGCATGGTTTGCGGACACGTTCGATGGTGTCCTCGAAGGAGCTGATAAATGCACATCACCATGATAAATTCCATTTAATTTTCTTCTCTATTTCAGGCAACAACGGTAGAAGGTTCATAAACCATATCGATGACGGTCCGTAACGCAATGTGACTTGCGACACATGTTTACTCAAAGACCCACTCAGCGGAGGCCATCGTGTGCTGGATGACGCCCTCAGGGAACCAACTAAGAACGATGTCAGGACGGGATGATCACAGGTAGGATAAAGGCTCACAGAGCGATCTCCTTCTCAGCGCTCTCGACGCTGTCCGAGCCGTGGCAGATGTTGCGCCCAACGGCAAGGGCATAGTCGCCACGGATTGTGCCGGGGGCAGACGCCAGGGGGTTCGTCGCGCCGAGCATGACACGGCCGGTCTTGACGGCATCAAGACCCTCCCAGACCATCGCGACGACGGGACCGGAGGCCATGTACTTGATCAGGCCAGGGAAGAAGGGCTTGTCCTTGAGGTCGGCGTAGTCTATATGGCACGTACATGTCAGCACACGGTGATAAGATGGGATGGAGACGGACGCTTCTCGAGATGCTCCTTGGTCGCATGCTCCAGCTTGAGAGCGATCAGCTTGAAGCCACGCTTCTCGAAACGAGCAATGATTTCGCCGACGAGGCCACGCTGGACACCATCGGGCTACCCATCGGAGTCATGCAATGACCCAATCCGCACAATAAACAGCACGAACCTTCACCATGATGTAGGTACGCTCAGCGTTGTTCGGCATGCTGTATACGCATACATTCAGCTTCTGGCCTCGGTCCCTATAGAGCAACAAAGCCGACGCACATGACTTTCTGTTCTTCGACGTTAACTGGGTTATTTAACTGTGTCGTCTGGACAGTAAAAGGCCACAGAGCAAGAGCGACGGGGACGAGGAAGAGGAGGTAAGAAAGAGAGAAAGCAGGGCGCATGCAGTTGCAGCGTTGCCACGGTGTGGTTGGCGGTTCAACGCCAAAAGAACCACTTTTTCATAACACGTGCCAGATTTGCCTCCATTTCCCTATTTTGGTAGGTGGTCACTCCGCTCCGCCCGAACGCTTCCGGTTCCGTCCTTCCCGTCAGTGGCTGCTTGCTCGTCGTCCAAACAGTCCTCCTCATCGCCTTCTTCCTCTCCCAAAAAACACCCAAGATGCCTCTTGGCGGCCCCCTCGGCATCTCATTTGGCAAGCAGATCATCGCCAACCGCACGCTGTACCGGTGGGTCAAGCCTGTGGCGGCATGGTACGCCGACTTGTGCGGATACAGGAAGATGGGCCTGCGGTATGATGACCTGCGTACGTATACAATTCCTCACCTCTATAAACTGCTTTAACCACCTATACAGTGATCGAGGAGAACCCTACCGTGGAGAAGGTACGCGCACACTGTGGTCATATTCCCGGAGTGAATGAAGCTCTGATGTCGCTGATCTGTAGGCTCTCACACGGCTCAATGCGAAGGAGTCGTACGATCGCGTCTGGCGTCACAGGGTAGCCATGCATCAATCAGTGCTGCACAAGGACCTGCCCAAAGCTCAATGGCTCAAGCCTCAAGATGTGAGCGTCCCTTTTCTTGCGCTGGATCGGCTAGCTTCAGCTGGACGCCGTAATCATATATGCATGCTAATCCTGGCACAGGACGTCCGTTACCTCACCCCGTTGATCGAGGAGGTCGAGGCGGAGGCCCGTGAGCGCAGGGAACTGGACACGCTGGAGGTGACGCGGAAGAAATAGACGCGCTGTGCCGGAGCCTGGGCATGGGAAGTGCAAGTGGTGGAGGCTAATGGGCCCAAAAACGTATTTTATTCTCCAAATACGCAATATTCCTTGCATGGAGGTCGTTCGGCTGCTCTCGTCGTCCATGGCGACGAACAGGAGCCTGTGCGATGCGGATCTATGGGCTTCATCGTTCTTGTTATGTCCAAACGACGGTGGTGCCCCCAACTCGAAGTCTTACTCACAAACAGCCCCGCCTAGATGGACGTCAAATGCTGCGGTCATATCAGTTGTGATGTCACCGTCATAACTCGAGTTCTCCTTGAGTTAGCTTGCAGTTGTGGTGTACTTGGCCATGTGCTCAAGAGCTCAAGCACGAAATATTCTCGCCGTAGTCTGCCAACGCTGCCATCGATAGAAGTAACCATCCCCCGCTTGACTTCCGGATCGATCTGCTTTTCACGTTCTATCCCATTGACATCCACCTGTGTGGCTCTGGAACATCGGACTAATGTGCAGACCCCGAAGGCCAAACCCCCAAACCCAGGCCACCATCACACTACAACGTGCATTCAACTCTATTTCCAATATGTGCCCTAAGCGCACTCTATTGCTCGACGGCACTGCTTTCACGAACTTTGGCGGCAAAGCAATGAATTGCGCGCTTCATACCAGGGCCGGGAACATCCCATCACGACCAGGGACAATCTCATTGTCAAAAGGCCAGGAGCACACGACTGGGAGAACACAGCCTGTGCCAAAGCGTCTGTCAACTGCATTGTTTGGTTGTGTTACTATACCTCGGAAGTTTTCAGCATGGTAATGTGGTCTTGCTCAATCTGTGGCTAAAGAGCGGATGCTGGACGAATGCATATGCTAGCACAGAAACCGCTTCAGACAAGCTGACGATTGAAGTGGTGCTCAGACGACACTGGCTCTACAACCTGGTTTGAGCACTACTCTCAACGTGCGCAATGGAGACCAGCCATCTTGTATATAACTCAGTTATGAAGGGTATCTGAGAGCACTCATCCCATACTGACTACACCTTGTGCCTAGCAACAACATGGCAGGCTATCCCAACATCCCTCTATACTCTCGTCTCTCACCCCGGGGGGACTTCCTCATTTCCAATCCCACCTTTCCCGACTTTCGACCTCGCTGGAGATGTCGCCGCTTTGCTCTCGAGCTCAGATGCGACGGTCATCGTAAGATATACCTAGCGCTCTTCTCCCCATATCAGATACAACTCCAATGTCCTGACAAGCATATCCCTTTGCCTGTGCTGTACATGTTCGGCGAAGCTGAAGGATTCGACATGCTACAGTACGTCGTGCACTGGGCGTTCGAAATCGCTGATATGAACCTGTGTGCAGGGCTCGAGAATTTGCTGACACGTACTTGGGGGATCGTTGTACGTGATACATAAAATTGTCTCGCCTTCGTTGTCTGATCTGTTTGGTCTACAGCCCTCGATGACAAGGAGGTCGTCGTTTTCTCCGGGTTTCCGTGTTCGAGCGCTCCGATGCCGACACGTACACTATTACAAGAGTTGCAACATGAATTATGCCATTTCGATTTGGTATATCCATCCATTTTCTTCTGATCAGCTTATTGAACGTAATACCAGATTATTCCGCCTATCGTGCCACGGAACACAAGGCCGCCAAGCCGCATCCCCAAGTTCCCCATGACTGCATCGGAGCTTGCCAAACGTTATCCTCGCATTCATCTTTGTAAATCAGAGATTGAGAACACATCTGAGGGCACGCCCTCAATCGCCGTTCCACTGCCGGCGGTTCATACCACCGTAGGACGCGACTCGGATTCCAGTAGTTCTGATTCAGACTCGACCACGTCTAATGCGACGACCCGGCCGCCGTCCTCTTCCGGAACGAAACCCAGTTCGGACGACGACGAAAACTGGCAGGATGATGTAACGTACCGTGATATGAAAGCATTGGAGGAAGAGGAAAAAGAGAAGAGGGGGAAAGGAGGCAAGGGCCCGGAACCACCGAATGAGCGAAGCGACATCTGGGACAAATTGCATACCTATGGGTCAACTATCGCTGCAACTGCCTTATTTGGCGCAGCGATAATGATTATAGGCGGGCAGTTGTGGCGTCGTGTCCACCATTCCAACTAGAGTTTACGACCTTTGATGATTTCTGTTACGATGGATAGGACGCACATTCAGCCCGGTGTTGAATAGTGTTGCGTTTATAGTGAACGAGTGTTTGATACAAGTACAGTGTGCGCATACCACCGGATGCCCAAAAGGTAATCAATCACTCTTGAACTATGTCCTCCTTGCGAGGCTTGTCAGCCACAAGCTCTTTTCCCTCCTTCATGAGATCTTTTGCGTGCTCATCCACGACAATGCCTATCCAGCCATCAGAGTACAATCAAGTGTTAGAGGTAGATGGACGAACCGAGACTCTCTCCACGTGCCAGCTCAAGGACATGTTCCAGTACGACAAACCCATCCTTGTCCACATCCAACTTCCCAACCAGCCCTTCAATAGTCTCCTCATCAGGATGATGCTTAATGACCCTGAGCGCCTGCTTAAGGTCATTGATAGAGATCATCCCTTGCGAGGTGCAGGAGATCAGCTGGAGCGAGTTGCCAACTTTGGTATCATACTCGGTCAACTGCGCGTCGATCTTCTTCAACATGCCCTTGATACGCTTGGCAAGACTGAGGCTGGCGCGGTCTTCGGAAGAGAGGGTGGACGGGTCCTCAGGCACTTCAGTAATTTCATGCTCCTTCATTAGCGCTTGGAGCTCCGCACGCTCCTTGAGGACGGAAGACTGGGCAGAGAGGATGGACAGTGCCTCGCCAAGTTCGCTCAGCTGCTCAGTCGTCATCCGCGCATCCTCTTCCTCTACCAGCTCGGATTCAGGAAGCATCGACTGCGCCATTTGGGCCTCTTTCTCCCGCTTCGTGCGTTCCTCGAGCTCACGCTTCTTGCGACGAGCATCTTCTTCCTCCTGCGTTATAATGAGCTCGGAATTATGCTAAGAGGACACTAGCTCGCACCTGCTCCTGTTCGGCCTCATCCTCAATGAGCTCCTCTTGTTGCTGGAGTACCTCGAGCTTCTGCTGGTAGCTGCCCCTATCACCCGACACGTCCAACTCCGCCTCGTTGAGCAAGTGGTCAGGCATGCTAGCGAGGGTCGCTTCCAAGCTCTTGACAACATCGTCGCCCTTCTCACCCATAGCAAAGGCACGTGACAGGATAAGCAGTGTGCCGGAGATGTTGTTAGTCAGGTGAAGTTCGATCCATTGGTTGAGGTCTTCGCGCAGAGTGGCCGGAGAAATGCCGATTGTGCGAACACCGCGGGAACGGCACGCTTCTTGAAGCTCTTTGGTCGAAAGTGAATCAACACCTTCGTCGTCAATGAGCTAGTCACCACAAATCAGCGGGTGAAGTTTCGGAAACGGAAATGTCAGACCTGGTCATCTCTCTTGATGCTACCCAACCGCTGGCGAATCACATACCGCAAGAAGTTATCCGTTCCGAAAGCATTCACGTTCATGTAGCGGCACATGGACACCAGCTGGGGTCGGGAGAGGTTATCCAGGGTGAGATCGTCGTTGAAGAGCTTGGCAACATGTATGACGTCTTCTCTGGTCGGTTCCTCACCAGTGGATCGGACCTTCCGGAAGAACTCCTTGAACTCCTCCGAGTCTGCAATTTTTGCCGCACCCTTCACTCCCGTCTCCCGCAGCGTATCCTGGAGGAATTTGGCCATTTCGATACGCACACGGAGCAACTTGCGTGCCTTTTCCTCCGCAGCAAACTTGTCCTCGAAGGTGGACGGAAGCATGTTGGGGAAGAGCTTAAGTGCGACGGGCAGCAGGAATTCCATGAATGGAACGATGACGAAGACCGAAAAGGGAATCAGGCGAAGGAGATCGTTCGTTGTGCGCTTAAGCTATTTGCGGAAACACAGATAAGCAGAGAAAACAGCGCATATATGGTCCGAAACGTACCTGACGGTGCTCACGACGAGTCAGCTTTGTTCCTCCAAGCACCTTGCTAACCAATCGAGCACTGATCCTGATCTCCTTCCCTAACAGCTTCGTTCCGGACCAATAGTGGTTCGCCTCATGCTTCAGCCAGGCCCACGCCCGCGCAAGTAAGGGCTTGTTCGGTTCAGCAAGCTCTTTCGACGGCTTATCCGCCTTGTGGTCCGCAATCTCCTTGGAGACATGCTCATCGGCAAGCTGCTCTTTAGCTTCAACTGAGCTGATGGGCTTCGTGGGACTTGTAGAGGGAGTAGTTCCAGGAGCGTAAGCTGGGGAGCCATTCAGACCTGCTTGAGGTGGAGGAGGAGGCTGAGGTGTGCTCGCCTGAACCGGAGCTGGTCGGGGTGCAGGATCCGTGAGTCGTGATTTCGATGGCTCACGTTGTGCACCTGGTGTCGCTACCGGAGGAGGCGGAGTTCGCCCCGGTTGCTTGTCCAGCGAGGTGCTGTTCCACCGCACTCCCGCCAAGGGGCGCAAAGCGATTGGTCGGACTGCATGAGATTGAAATGAGAGGCGATATGCTAAGTATATGCTCAGCAATGATCCCCCTAAGTAAAGAGACGACGCACGTGTTGCAAGCCCTCTATGGCGCAGAACATTCTGCATACCGATGGGCCGACGGGGGAGAGACATCTTCTAGTGTGGTGCCAAGTAATGCAAAGGAGCGAGGGCAATGACAGATGAGAGAAGGACAAGCAAGAGATATTATCTGTTGAGCAAGAGGTGATGGCAAGGGAAAGAAGAGCGTTTATGCACGGCCGCGGGGTTTGCAAGCCTAAAAGAGGGCACGATCAAATGCATGACGAACGCCGAACGGCAAGGTGCGGAGGCTTTGAGAACCGCTCAGTGGCGGTGTACCGATTACATCATCACATTCGTGAAGAATAGCAAGAAATAATGTTTGCATCTTCCAGTACCACGGTTACATACTCAGTGTTCAACTGCTAACTACACCATCCTTCTTTTCCTGTGCTTTCTTTTTTTTCCCCTTCCAGATAGAGTGCCAGCCACGAGTAGTGGAGCTTAGCGCCTGCCTCATCAATTGCCTTCACATCTGCTTCGCTCAGATCAGGGAGACTATACACGTCGACGTACTCCTTCAAGCGCTCCTCTTTTGAAGTTGTTCTAGAAACGTGTCAGTTATCGCCAAACGCCCAATTAGGCTCTCTCAGCTCACGTCACCGCAACAACCCCCTTCTGCTCCAACCATTTCATCAGTACTTGAGTCTCTGTCCCCCCGATCTTCGCTGCGAGCTCCTTCAACACTGAATTGACTGGGCCATCCGTCTTCTTGGTCAAGGGCGTGAGGCCACCGTAAGATTCGGTGAGGATGCCGTGCTCCTTCTGAAGCTTGAGGACGGGAAGAAGTTGTGCATAGTCGTATGGGTGGAATCTGCATCAAATATAATCTCAGTCTCAGATCTCAGGACGAAGTCGCTCTGTCAACCTACTCGAGCTGATTAACGACGGGCTTATGTTTCGCAATCTTGAGTATACGCTCAAGGTATTGAACCTCGAAGTTAGAAACGCCAATACTCCTCGAAAGGCCAGCATCCTTCACATCCTCCATCTACTTCCACACATCCTCCAACTGTCCGGGCCTGGTATCGAACCTCAGTGCCGAATGAACGAGAAACAAGTCCACATAGTCCATCTTCAACCTTGTGAGGCTTTCCTTGAGACTATCCTCGATCGTCTTTCCTTCAGGAAGATCCCATAGCTTGGTCGTCACGAATAACTTCTCGGGCGGTATACCAGACTGCGCGATGGCATCACCTACCGTGTCTTCGTTGCCGTATATTTGGGCAGTGTCGATATGCGTGTAGTTCGCCTGAAGGGCCATGAGAATGGGCTTGACAGCATTTTGCTTATAATGAGCCGTGCCACTCCCAAAGCCCAGCTGGGGAATCGTGTGCCCATCGAGCATCGTATAGATAGGCATAGCCATGGTTGTCAACAAATACGCAATGTTTACTGTTATTATCGACCACACCTCTCAACCAGGTTATATAGATATCAGTAGCATAACTTCTATTATTGATGCTGTCCAAAAGCGTGTAAGAAGACTGTCTTGTTCCTGACAGTCCGCCGTCGGCACCTCGGCCGACGGCGGAGGCCCATATCCGACGCTCTCGCAAAAGAAGGAAATCCAAGTTTGCTGACAGCACCGGTCTCAGAGAGTGGGCTGGACATCCAGCCATCGGCCAACGCGCCGATATGCTGATGTGAGAGAGTACCAAGAAAAGCATGTCCATCGGCAGCGGAGGTCGAGATAGTGGTATCGGTCAACAGCGCCCCGATGTTCCACGGGTCACTCCATGTTTTCGGTTTGCAGGGTCGCGTGCCAAACATAGAGTTCAGCCATTCTCGGGACGAGTCAGACTTCTTAACCTGGAGTCTCGTATCTGAAGTTGCTGGGAAAGGACCGCATTCTACCACTGGGCGACTCACCTTGGAGAAGTCTCTGATTGAGTAATGGAGGACGATCTCGATATCTACATATTCACCCATAAGGATATCATCTAATTCACCGCCTCATACTCGGGAAGATCCAAGTCGTTCTTTGTCCGGAATTGCGCTCGGAGCCGTTGATTCAGAATACCAACAAGCTCTTGCGTGGAGGCAACATTCATGTCGCTCGGATTTGGAGACGCGTTTGTAGATGGTTGGAGAGGAGAAACGCTTGCCATTGAGGGTGGTAAAACGGATGAGTTTGTCAATAAAGCCATTCTTTCCATGGGTGACCTTCCCAGGCGTCGTTTTTCGTCGCTGCCGGAGGGCTGAGATGTTACAGGTGAAGAGAAAAGCGTAGTTATTCCGGGACTCGGGTACCCGGTGACCTGGGGATCTTCTAGTCTTTGGGCAGAATTAGTGCTGATTTGAGCGGGCTGCGGCGGTAGAATATACGGGGTTGCTTCTGGGTGGACGAAAATCGGGTCGGGGTCAATTTCAAGGAGGGCGGATGCCGCATGTCTCCTTCTCCGGCAGAAACACCACAAGATAAGAACTATAATGCATACGGCTGCGATGCCGCCAACCACTCCATCGACGATTGCACCAACAGGGGTGCTTGTAACAGGGCCGCTTCCAGAGGTGTTATCGCCAGAGCCAGCTCCAGATTTGGGAGGAGGGCCAGGAGTCACTTTCGCTAATAATAACCCTTGCACTGACGCGCATGGGTAATAGTCGGGTCCGACAGGCTGCTGGGCATCAGGGGCCGCTTGGTCGTAGTTAATATAAGTGATCGTGTATTCTTTCGATGCATCCAAGCCGGCCTTGAAAAACATGACTTGCTCTGTTTCACGCCAGAGATCCGAGCCATTGTATGTGTATGATTGCCCGTCAAATTGAATGGTGTATGGGCCAATATTGAGGTTGAGCAAACCTAGCAGCTGAACCGCAGACGAGCCTGGGTCAATGGCATAAGAACCCCGCTGCATCGTCTAGTTCCTGCACTCTCTTACCGTTAAATGTATAGCTCGCCGTGTATGAAGGACCATATGAACATGTCCAGGATTGAGATAGGTTGCCGCTTGGTGCAGAAACATTCGAGAAAGTCCAAGCCCCCCCTGGTTGATACGACCATCCCACATCGTCATCTACGAGGTGAGTCGTGGTAGGATTCGTGCTAAATCATACCTTAAGTATCCTTCAACAATCGGGCTGGACATAGCTCACCCATTCAGTCCAACAGTAACAACGCCACTAAAGAAGAGAAAATCAGCATTCCCTTGTGAGTTAACACGTAGAGTTCCAGTATGACTGCCGTACGGGAGACCATCCGCATATGCCATTTGTTCTGCGCCAGTTTCGGCACAGGCAGGATCTGAAGACAGACCAGTCGTTGACATTGGATTGCCGTCGATCGTAAACGTGAAAGAAGCGCTAGTAGGTGTAAGACAAAGATATACAGCTGTGCCTGATCTCGCAGTATGAGCTTGAACATAGTGTCTATCAGCCAGGTATACAAACTCGCCCTCGAACTGCACAGTCACATTCGCACCGTCAAGGTATGTCTCCCGCAGCGGGACACCTGTCCCGACATTATTTAGACCTGGATTTGGCCAAGAGATAACATTGGAGAAACTTGCTCGCCATCCCTGTTCAAAAATCAGCTGAGCGCAATACAGGCACGCCCCGCGAGGATTCTCACTCCGGCAGGATCGCCTTCATATCCATACCAGCCGTCCCGGAACGGTTCGTATCTGGCGATGCGAGGTAAGACATCTTGACGAAGAGCACGTCAGGAAGTACGTACGTGAATACGGGGCTCGGACTAGACAAAGAAATGTATGGTGTTAACGCAGTCATCGAAGTGGTCACGAACAGTGCTCAAATGGACGTTTGGCGTTGGCCTTTACGGTATAGAGAGCTGCGCGGGGCAATGCACGAACAACTCCGCCCTCCCTGAAAGCCCTTCCTAATCAGAATACATGTGTGTTTCTCGTTGTAGTAGTCATCGCCCAGTCATCAATCATGTTACGGATGATCACCCTGAAAATAGAAGCCGATCAAATAGACGCCCTAGTCCCGTAACCACGCGGTCGAACCTTCTGAGGCAGATTGACGTGAAAGAAAAGGACCCAAGCCACCGATGAAAGCTGATTGGAAAGGCACTTCTTTTCTTCCTTAATCCAAATATAGACAAAGAGATGTCAAAATAGACAGCGATCAGTTCCATTCATTTCAATCTAGGTACGCGATTGTCGATTGAGGTTCAAGCGCTGGTGCTCTGTGCACCATCTCTCACCTCCTGTGCTTTCTTCCTTTCGGCCTCCAAATATAGCGCAAGACGCGAATACTGCAGCTTTGCGCCTGCTTCCTCAATTGCTTGGATGTCCTCCTGGGTAAGATTTGGCAAGCTGTAGACATCGACATACTCCTTCAAGCGCTCTTCCTTCGAGGTCGTCCTGATAAACATGAGCAGATAGATATACGACTTGGATACGGCGCAGCTCACGTCACGGCAATAATACCCTTCTGATCCAGCCATTTCATCAGTACTTGCGTCTGTGTTCCGCCGATTTTGGCTGCCAGCTCTACGAGCACTGCATTGACCGGCCCATCCGTCTTCTTGGTCAGAGGCGTGAGGCCACCGTAGGATTCGGTGAGGATGCCGTGCTCCTCCTGAAGCTTGAGGACAGGGCGGAGTTGCGCGTAGGCATATGGATGGAACCTACAACAATATGATGTTAGCTTCGAGTCAGGAGCATCCAGACAACTTACTCTAGTTGGTTAACGACCGGCTTGTACCTTGCGACTTTGAGGATACGTTCAAGCTCCCCAGCTTGAAAGTTGGAAACTCCAATGCTCCTTCCTAGACCCATATCTTTCACGGCCTCCATCTGCTTCCACACATCCTCCAGCTGCCCAGGTTTGTCGAACTTGATCGCCGCGTGAAGAAGGAATAAGTCGACATAGTCCATCTTCAGCTTTGTAAGGCTGCCCTTGAGGTTGTCTTCGATCGTCTCGCCTTCAGCCAGTTCCAACACCTTGGTCGTCACGAACAACTTCTCGCGTGGAATTCCAGACTGACTGATCGCATCGCCCACCGTGTCCTCGTTGTCATACATCTGCGCGGTATCGATATGCGTATAATTCGCGCGAAGAGCCATGAGTATAGGCTTGACGGCATCTTGCTTATAATGGGCGGTACCGCTTCCAAAGCCGAGTTGGGGGATCGTGTGACCGTCAAGCATGGTATGCACCGGGATGGACATTGTATTCAATGGGAAGGCGAGGATGTCGAGATAGCTAAACAGATACGGAATGTTTGCTACTATGGGGGACCACAGATCTCGATCAGGTTATATAGGCACTTGCTTTCATCAATAGGGTTGACGCTGTCGTCGAAGGCGTGTTCCCGTCGATATCATTTGTCGAACGGACACGAGATGTAGCCGTCGGCGGGGACGCCGACGTTCAATTCCATGAACAACCTTTGCGTGGACGAGTGTGTGCGAGGAAGGTGTTCGTCGACGCCTGCCCGACGCGTCGAGGTTCCACGATCTACTCCACGTTCTCCTTTGGCAGGGTCGTCTAACATTCGTCTTTCAATAAATGTTCGTCATTCTAGCAAACCTGAACTCCAGACTTGTTACAAAAAGATATACATGGCACTAATTTGTCCATCCCCAACAACTTACTCTGTCATAACGTTATCTAATCCACCGGCTCGTATTCCGGAAGATCCAAGTCATTTTCTGTCCTGTATTGCTCTCGCAGTCGTCGATTCAGGATACCAACAAGTTCTTGAGTAGAGGCAATATGGATGTCGCCCCGATCGGAAGATGGGTTCGTCGATAATTGGGGAGGGGAGGTGGGTGCCGTCATGGGCGGCGAAACCGATGCGTCCGTCGGTAATGGTCTTGGTTCCCGAGACATGTTAGGCCGGCGTCGTTTTTCATCACGGGAAAATGATTGAGATGTGTCAGAAGACAGGAATATAGATGTTCCAGGATTTTGGGCATATGTGTAACCTTCGAGGGGGGCCTCTTCAGGCTTCTGCGGCGCCTCGTCATCCGTACCAAGTAGTGGCTGCTGCTGAGGCAAAATGAACGATCTTCCAGAATGGCCCGCGGGAAGCTGGTACGGTTGGATTTCAGACATGTCACGTTGGGATGCGGCCTCACGTCTTCCTCTCCACCAGACAAACCACAGGGGGAAACCGATGATACATAGACCTGCGATGCCGCCCACTACTCCGCCCACTATTGCCCCAACAGGTGACGAGCTGTCTGTGTTAGAGCCACTTGTGTTGTTCCCGGTGCCCGCTCCTGAGCTGTTGTTACCAGAGCCACCTCCAGAGGTACCACTGGGACTTGCTCCACTTGTTGATGGTGAAGGAAGACCAGGAGTCACTTTCGTCAACAATAACGCCTGGACCGAGGCGCATGGGTAGAAGTCAGGTCCAATTGGCTGCTGTGCATCCGGGGCTGATTGATCGTAGTTGATCAGAGTGATCGTGTATTGCTTTGATGCATCCAGGCCACCCTTGAAAAACAGCACTTGTTGTGATTCACGCCAGAAATCAGAACCGTTGAATTGGTACGATTGATCATCCAGCTGTACCGTGTACGGACCGATATTGAGGTCCAACAGCCCCAGCATCTGAACAGCAGACGAGCCTGTGTGATTTTAATCAGCTCTTCACCATACTATCCGGGCGCTTTCAATCTCATACCGTTAAAGATAAAGCTCGCTGTGTATGAGGGGCCATAAGAGCATGTCCAGGATAGCGTACTGTTGTCATTCGTCCCAGAAGTATTTTGATAAGTCCATGAATTCTGTGGCTCATACGACCATCTTGTATCGCTGTCATCTATGCGTTCACTCACTGGGTTCGTGCTGGATTGTCCTGTTAGTAGACTGGAGCCTCTTCGTCAAATGTTTCTCACCCGTTCAATCCAACGGTGACAACACCACCGAAGAAGAGGAAATCCGTGTTGCCCTCTGAATTAACGCGCAGAGTCCCAGTATGGCTGCCGTACGAAAGACCGTCGACGTATGCCATGGTGTTTGCTCCGGTGTCGTCACATGCCGGGTCTGTTACTTCCCCAATCGTTGATACTGGGTTACCATCGACGGAAAAGGTGTACGCAGCTCCGGTAGGTGTGAAACAAAGGTATATTGCAGTACCTGATGTCGCAGTAAGATCATCTGCGGCGGTCACCGGGTCTTAGAAAATGCTCACCCTCAAACTGTACCGACACATTCGCTTTGTCAAGATACGTTTCGCGAAGGGGAATGCCAGTCCCAACGTTACCCAGGCCGGCATTGGGCCAAGTTGTCACGTTCGAATAACTCGATCGCCATCCCTATTCGACATCATGTCAACATAGCGCCGAGAGTGGGGTGTCCAGGAACACTGACTCCAGCGGAATCCCCCTCAAGACCAAACCAACCATCTCTCCATGGTTGATATCTAATGCATGTTAAGATCGGTTGACAGTCGACAGCAAGAGAACTGACAAAAATGTTGGACTGGAACTTGTCAGAGATATGTTATATGGTGTTAACGCAGCCATCGAAGTCGGTCAAAGTAGCAAGAGATCAGGCGCCCACAGTAAGTTCTAGTCAGCACCACTCTTCAACTAAGCAGGCGACAGCAGAGACAAAACACAGATCGAAATAATCGGAACAAGGCCATGGATAAAGGCTTTGACGCACCGCCTCGACCTAACAAGCGCTGTCAGTACACACCTTCTGCTAGGGTTTGTCGTTCGGCACCCAGTCATCAAGCGCGTTTCCCATCATCTTGCCATTGAACACAGCAAAAATAGACAACAACAGAAGCACATATCAACGGGAAATGCGGAACGGTTCAAGGTGGGCGCCAACTTGCCGAATGCCGTAACCTTCCACACCGGCACGACGCCCTCGCGATCGCGTTGTCGCACACATCCATTCCGGCACTCTCGGTCCCCCTTTTGGGAACAGTGAATCTGCATCTTTCCTAATACAGACGAAGGTAACTACAAGACGTGCACGACTTCAACAACTCACATAGTGTCACAGCGCAGGCTTGCTAACACCCGAAGATGGCAGCTTGGACAGGGACACCATGACCATGACGTACTCTAAACCACCGACTCATATTCTGGAAGATCCGAGTCACTATCAGCTCTGTATTGCACTGGGAGACGTCGGTTCAGGATACCAACGAGGTCTTGAGTAGAGGCTCTATTCATGTTCACTAAGTCTGAGGATGCGTTCCTGGACGACTGCAACGGAGAGCTGTTTACCACAGCGGGTGCTGGAAACGAGGTCCTCGTCCGCGAGGCCTGTTCCACACATATGGGTACGTCTCCTGGACGTCGTTTTCCGTCGCTTCGTGAGGATTGATAGGAGACAGGCGAATAGGTTGCATGGTTGGTCTCTGGACTCTGGACAATCAGGATTCCAGCCTCTTGTGACCTCAATGGAAATCTGGCGCGGGTCTGAACAGACGGAAGGATGTACGGGATGACGGCATGTTCGATGCCAATTGGGTCCGGGTCAATTTCGAAGAGAGACCGTGGTGCGCTTCTTCTATTCCAGCAGAAAAACCATAGGAGATACCCAATGATGCATAGAGCTGCTAGACCGCCCACCGCTCCGCCTATTATTGCCTCAATTGGTAACGAGCCACTTGCAGCCGGGCGTGCTGTTGATATTGAAGGAGGGATAGCGGTTACTTGGGTCAATAAAAGCGCCTGTACTGATGCACAAGGGTAGAAGTCAGGTCCAATTGGCTGCTGTGCATCCGGGGCTGATTGATCGTAGTTGATCAGAGTGATCGTGTATTGCTTTGATGCATCCAGGCCGCCTTTGAAAAACAGCACTTGCTGCGATTGACGCCAAAGGTCCGACCCGTTGAATTGGTATGACTGGCCGTCCAGTACGATCGTGTAGGGGTCAATATTTACTTCCAACAGCCCGAGCAGTTGAACAGCAGAAGAACCTGTGAGGAACGGATCAGAATCGCAGACGACTTTGCTGGCTCTTTCAGTCACTGACCATTGAACGAATAACTCGCCGTGTAGGACGGACCATACGAGCATGTGTAAGATAGAGAGGTGTGATCACTCGTCCCTGAATCAGCCGAATGAGCCCAAGCACTACTTGGTTCATACGACCATCCCACGACAGTATCATCTACCAGCCTAGGAGTTGGATCCGTTCTGGTTAACTTGGTGAGCGTCATTCGATATTCTCGTTCAGGTCATCTCACCCATTCAACCCAATGGTAATAATCCCGCCGAAGAAGAGGAAATCCGTATTTCCTTGCGAGTTGACACGCATGGTTGCAGTATGACTGCCGTATGTCAGACCATCAGTATATGCCATTAGCTCGGCACCAGTTTCGGCGCATGCAGGATCCATTGCTGGACCACTTGTCGACACTTGGTTTCCGTCGACGAGAAAATCGAACGAAACCCCGGTGGGAGTAAGACAAAGGTAAATGGCGGTGCCTGAGGAAGGATTATTGAACATCTGCATTCAACTGCCCGTCCAAGTTGAGACTTACCCTCGAACTGCAGGGTCACATTCGCACCATCAAGGTATGTCTCCCGAAAAGGAACACCGATACCGGCATTGTTAAGCCCGCCATTAGCCCAAGTTGCGACATCCGGGTAGCTTGATCGCCATCCCTATGCCAAATTATGTCAGCACACAACGGTGGACGAGAAGTGGAGTGATACTGACCCCCGCGGGATCTCCTTGAAGACCACACCACCTGTCTCTGAATGGCTGATATCTAATGAGGTAGGGTAATGCTGTTCGACGAATGGGAGAACGAGAAGGACCTACATGAAAGTCGGGCTTGAACTTGGCAAGGATAGGTTGTATGGCGTGAACGTGTCCATCGAATCTTAGTACAATGCTCGGTTACGTGCTTGGTGGAACCACCCATGACCAGAGGACTTCGCAAATCCAGCTGTTATCAGAGGGCAAGAGCCGTGCTCGTACAGTATCATAGTTGCCAAGACTGTAGACCCCGTGCGGTGTCTGGCTGCATGCGCCCGAGATAGACGAAGCCTGGTATGTAACTGTTCATGCGAGCTGATCATGATACAGCCACCAGCTGTGCTGTCACCATCGTCGTGCCTGGGAATATAGAAGAAGTAGACCATAAGAGAGCATCTGCAGTGCTGAGGAACTACGGAGAACGACAATATCTTTGCCAGACATTTACAATTGTTCGCCTCTAGACACTGCCACAGTCTGATAGATCTCCCAATGTTTGTTCAGGTATACCAGGTACACCCCAGGCTGCTGACGTGGCCCCCCAACAAGGACGGATCCGCTCTATGCCTGTGAATAGCCAAGTAGGGGTCCTTTCTGTTGTTGTCTATACAGTCCGCCAACAAGATCTAATTTGACTGTCTAAACTAGGATCACCCCTATCTCTGAGCCAATAATCTTCTCTCAGGCCAATCATTCTCCCATAATTCTAGTCTGTTCCTCTGCTCTCCTATCCCTGACTAGACAGTGCATCAACACTGTTGACTGTATATCACAGGTATCGGCCCCTCTCACCAAGCTCTTCAAATATAAAAGGCTGGGGCAAGATCACTTTTTTTTCAATCTAAGAGACCATGATCATATGACAGTACTCATGACCTCAGCATTCATGCAAATCACTTTCATGTTCCATTTGATTCAATTAATACAGCATCATCAGGAAGAGGACACAGCAGGAGGGGCAAAGGATTGTAAGGACAGTAGAACAGTAGAACAGTACTACTAGTAGAACAGGATAACAGGAGACTAGCAAAGTGAATGGAAGGGTTGATGACAATCGGACTGAGTGAGGAGGCAAAGAAAAAAATTCAACATGATATGCTGTGCCAAGATCAAGTGAGGTGGAGAGGGTTGGCAGGACAATGAATGAACCACATTCCCCTTGATCTGAACCTGCTCCAAAGCACAAGAAAGTGTGCTTCAAGATGGGCAAAGTCTGCAGAACCTGTGTTCTGCCCACATCTCCATGCTCCACTGAGCTGTCTTGATCTGAATAATGCTGTCCTGATCACCAGGCTGGAAGTCATTGACCTCATACATATCATAGAGTGGGATTGGAGGACCAGTGGCCCTGTGATGCCAGCCTGTAGGGTAGAGCCCCTTGATCTCAGGATGCTCCGGCAGCCCAGACAACCTCATAAAAGATGAGGCAATGTGATTCTGGGGCCCATTCTGTTGGGGACAGGGGGGGGGTGAGGGGTATCTGACCAATTCATCAAATCTTGATGCATCTGACTCATAGTCACATTGAGCTTCAGGTCCTTCCTGGATCCTTGCTTGAAGCAGCTGATACAAAGCAGCTCGAGGGTTGCTTTGGTCACTTCAGATGTCTCTTGGGAAGATGGGGGGGTTGTATGAGAGGCTGTATGAGCATGTGGGGGGGAAGACAAAGTGGGTTGCTGGGATTGGGACTGGGGGGAATATGTTACCACACAACCTGGGGACCCACCCTGGGGCAAGCTGAACCATGCAGGTGAGCAATCACTGGACCAAGAATACTGGGGGGTCAAACTGGGCATCAAAGGAGACATAAACTGAGGCTGATGGGTTGGAAGGGATTGGCAGACCCACAGTCTCCTATTCTCAGGGCTCACCCCTACCACAGGAGATTCAAACGGAGGGGATCCAAACCTAGACAATGATTGGCAAGGTGCTGAGCATCTGGGAGAGGACAGAGGAACCAATGCTTTTGCCAGGATTGCCACTCATGGATGGTTGGTGGGAGCAAGCCATGACCAGGACTTGGTGAGGCAAACCATAAGCTTGGGGATACATTTCCAGGTGCATCCAAATGTCCATCAGGGGGGGTAGGGGTCAACAGGTCTTCCCAGCAAATAGACAGTGGTGAGCTTTGAGGATCCTCGCCAAGTTCTTGACAAAGAAGGCTCTGGGCGGCATGCTCTTGGGTGGCCTGTTCTGCATTGTACTCCACTCCCCAGCAAGCATGCCTCCTTTCATCATAGCCTTGTTCCATTTGCAAGACAATCATGATCCACCTGCAGAGAGGTCAGAGAATGTTGCACATTAGCAATGAGGACATGAGCAACACACTAGAAGAGGATATGGCTCTATGACCTCTTGAGCTTGACCTGTACAGTTTATTCAACTTCTTGCCAGAGATCATGTGGTAGTACAGAGCAATATGACAAGAATGAGGGCATTTTTGGATGGTACAGCTTGACTTGTATCCAAAAGAGTGCAGATGACAGAGCAAGAGAACATGAGGTGGACACACTTTCTGCACTGCCTGTAGGGGTCTTCTGTCATCAATGATATGATCCTTCCAGTTTTGACCAGGGTCCACCAACAATATTACCATCACCAATCATAATGATCCTTAAGCTTGTTTGATAGAGTTGCCATGGTTGTTCTGAAGGACAAGGAAGAGATCCCCCCAGCAATATCACACTCCCAGCTCCACTTGTTCTCACTATGTATGGACAATGGCCAGCTGGAAAACAACCCTGGCCTGATGATGATGGTTCATCTTATTGCTTGTGCTTGTTCGATCGATCATTGTTCTCGCTCATTCCTAGAGCAAGAGGATATACATACTGATCCTACAGAGGGCACCTTGCATGTATCTATTGTGAGGCTGAGATTGGGTCCATTGTGATCTGAAGAGAAGAGGGGCTTCGATTAGACAGTGTGTAGATGGTTCCTGTTCATAGTTTGACCCTGACCCATTTTGGTAGATCAGTGCTGTGTAGATGTTCACTTGAAGCTCAATGACACCAACTAGATGAGCTGGTCCTCACCTGCCTTCTTATTCCCAACACATTCCCTCAGTTGGCCAAATGGATTTTGCAAGACCCAAGATTTGTTTTGAGCTGCCATGCTGCAAAGCTCATGCAACTAGTTTGCAAATGATCCAGGCCTTATCTCAGACAATCAGTACACCAAGATCACCTCCCGGACACCCACATTTAAGCCATGCAATCAAGAAGAGAAGCAGAAAGTGAAACTCATCTCCTGAGCAAGCTCTTCCATCCTTACAACCTGGATCACAATGGAGAGGTGCCCCTTCTCAAAGCATGACCCCCATTCTGACACCAGTGGATGCAACAATGGAGGATTGGGAAGATCTACATGCAGCTGATGAGCCAGATTTGCCACCACTGATGCCAGATCATGGCCGACATGCACAAGCGAAGCAGCTAACCTTTCAATGATGTTGCTTCCTCAACTCATTCTGGCCATGAAGCACTGGACATCCTCAGCATTGCCAGAAAGGAGTGAAGTCTCATGGAATCTACAGGATCAGTGTTCATCAGATTGTCAAGATTATCATTTCTATTGAGTGACTTGTGTGACCCTTATTGGTATGTTCTCCTCTTGTGTGCTCTGCATGATTATCATCTAGCACAATCTCATTGCTCTTCAGGATACAATATAAGACCTTGCCATGCCTGTCCCATTCATCCAATTGCAACTTCTCTTGTTAGGAATGGATTCTGGCCTAGTTCTCCAAACTGACCTCCTAGAGCTTTCTCCATTGACCTGCTGAACCACTATCTAAATCTTTTTGATGCATGTGCAACCCCCAATGATGCATCCTGCAAAGCCTTGATCCGCTCTCATGTGGAGCAAGGGTTCTACTATCTCTGGAACCAAGGAGTGAGTCAATCTCCCAATTTCCCTTCCACTTTCCTTATCATGAGCTATAGGATGGAGTCAGTCCACTGGATGATCCATGGAGAAGAGGTTTCAGCAGCGCTGTGCTCTGGTATGATGTCTGCTGACTTACTTGGGAAAGAGGGCTGTGATCCATAATCGACTCTCACTCTCCTGAAGTTCACTTGGATCCTTCTCATATCACAAGCACTGACCATAACCTGAATGATCCAGACCTTTAGAGAGGTCAGGCAAGTAGCCAGCTCTGCTCTCTGTGTCCTGCCTGCTTTGCACTTGACTGTTGGGGTCAAGCCTCTGAAAGGTATGTCTTCATTCCTCTAGGAGCCAACTTCTGTCCACTCACTGTACTGAGCTTTTAGAGGCTCAGATATCCTCATTGCTCTCAACAGCAATTGCCAGCTCAAAAGACTTTGGACAGAAGGATCTACACCTCACTTCCATGAGACTGAGCTGTTTGTATCCAGCAGCAAGGTTGCAGAAATGTGTCTCAAGATGGATCAAGCCAAAGAGCAAGCTTCAAGCCAAGAGGTTCCTCCCAATACCTGAGTCTTGCCTGATGTCCTCACCCAATGTCGAAAAGTGTTCAAGGTCATGGATGAAGATGCCAAATTGGTCTCAGACCAATTGTTTGACATTATGGGCATTGTCATCATGGTTTGTTGACATGATGTTCCCTTGTTTGTGTGCAACATTATGACACTGGGAGAATGACAAGAATATGGTCTTGCACTCATTTGAGCCTTGCTCCAGGATCTCCTGACAAGAGCCACAGTTGGTGTCTTGTATGACATCAGATGTCAGCTGGAACAGAGCTGCGATTTGGTATGACTCTCCTTATCCCCAAGAAGGAAACACTGATCCTTCCTCCAGTTTGGTTATCTTGGTTGTGATCAATCATGCTTGACATTTGCCTGCAGCATTCTGCATGCATATGGTCACGAATGGGCTTGCCAGGTTGCATACAACCCCAGATGCAGATTGGGCTTTGGTCTTACTGATGGAGAAGGAAGTGAGTGGGTCTGGAGCAGAACCAGATGCCTGATCCCTATCATTCAATGAGCAAGTGTAGATATGATCTCCTTAGAGTGGTGATCAGAGCTGACCAGGCTCTCAGGTCAAACATTGTCAATTCTCACTGGAGCACAAGTTACAGCATTGTGACTCCAGTCTAAAGATGAGCTTAGGAACCTGGATTTGCAAGAAATACAAGCTCATACATACTCATCAATTAGCTGTGATGCAGGATATATGAGCTTCTGGCCTGAGTGAATCGCAGCTCAGAGAGCAATTACATTTGCAGCAATTGGAGCCTACAAGCCAAAAGCTTGGTAAGAATGAATACTGATGGCTAAGAGCTTTGTCTGATCATTTTTGCAATCTAGTGTTAGGGAAGGAACTTCAGCATAAGCTGGATCTGTTCAAGTGCTTGCAGAATGAGCTCCAAAAGGTGGCAAACACAATCAAAGACACCATATGAACAATGACCCTAGAATTTGGCCTATCCAAAACCTCTGGCATCCTAGCATGCCTCCAGGAGCAACAACATGAGCTGCAAGGATATGGTGATGCACTCTTTGCCAATATGAGATTGGACAGAGCATTTCTTCAGCTCACTGGAGTATCTGCCCAGTTCCTTCACTATCTCCTTCTCGCTCAGGAGGAGAAGAGCAATATAAGGACCAGAGTGGTGGAACATCTTGGGGAGCTGTCATGGTTGAAGCACACTAGGGGCAGAGGGCATGATCCAGTAGGTATGCTCAAAACATGCAGAGGAACTCTGTTCAGATAGCTGACTGACTCACTCTGATCTAGGCACTAAAGTGCAAGATGCAATCTTGAAGGGATGGGCTCCTTGCTGGCATGCTATGAAGGCAGCTGTGGAGCAACACAACTGCTACATAGATTTGTTGATGAAGATCCCAATCCCTGGGCTGGTTATCTCTCTACCAAAGAAGCTGGAACCAGAAGATCTGAAGAATCTGTCTGAAGATCATCCTCTGTGGCAAGATGTCTGGTGGCCAATGTTCACCCCTCCATCATTATGGGTCACAAGCAAGAACATGAGAAAAGGCATCACTGGTCTTCTCATTCTCAATTGATGCAAGGAAGAAGAGGAAGGGTTGCTCTGGGAATGTAAGAACATGGAGTGGTGGTGGATAGATGAGATGAAGGCCCTCATGGGCACACAAGCAAGAGCTTTAGGTATTCTTTGGGTGCTCTCAGCTCTTTTAAATATTGACTTGCTTCTCAGATCTTCCAGACAAGATTGCTCTGGAGCAAAAGGCAAGAGAAGATGATTGGTTCCAACATCATTGGCACTGTCCTCCTCTATCCCCTCATCAGTGGAGGAAAATCAAAGACAGTCTTCAGACAGATCCAACAGCAGATGAGCCCTCTGCCAACAGCACAACTCCAATCATTCTCGAGTGGTCTGAGCCCCTGATCAACCAGAGTTGGGCAAACACCAATGGCAAGAACAGTTCCACAAGCAGTGCTAGCAATCCATATGAACATGTAATGGCCAATTTGGATGTGATGGTTGAGGAGCTTGGTGCTGTTGTGATTGACAAGAGGGATCTCAGAAGTGAGCCAGAGCAGGATGATGTAGATAGTGTCTCAGAGGTCAAGGGGCAGTGAAGACACAGGCAGTGTCTGGGGCTCTTTGATAGACCTGAAATTTAATCATTGCCTCATCTCTTTTGCTTTGAGAATGAACTCTGTTTTTGCCCTCAATCTAGAGGGGTTCCATCCACAAGCTCTTCCTTGAAAAGAGCTTTTAATCTCACACACATGTGCAGAAGAGCTATACTAAGGAGAAGCTCTTATGGAGCTCAAATTGTCTTCCCTCCCAAAGACATTGTAAGATCTCATGGTTCGAGTATTTCTGAATTTCATATCCAGCACTGCAGCCCAGACCTGGAAACAATTGCAAGATCTGATCCTTGTTGATTTGCACACATCATTTCGATTAGGTCTACCTAGTCAGGTCACAGAGCTCATCATTACACATAATCAGAAAAAGACTTCAAGGAAAAAGAAAGAAAATAAAAAAATAAAAAAGCCGAGGGTCATGGTCTTTCAATAAGGAAAAAGGGAATGCATGATTGCAATGAAGAGGACTGTAGGATCATCCATGCCTTACCATAATTGGGTCAACTTCTTTGATTCATCCCCTTTCCCTTGTCTTTGCTGCTCTGTCCCGGACCTTTCCCAATCTGATGTGCAGCATCACAAATTAGGCCTTCCAAAGAAGGACCCATCAACACCATTCAAGCATTGAACTCTTCCTGGACTTTGTGCATGATCTGCTGGAACCAGAGCTGCCAATTCCCAGACACTACCAGGATCTCATGAGTGAGGAGATCATTGTACTTGCTTTGCACCTGAGCCAAGAACATTTGTTCCATTTGTTCAACCAGGGGTTGTGGCCAGTCCTCCTTGAGAAGCTGTGTGGAATCTGTTGTCTTGCTAGAGCTCAATGCTTGAGCAGGCTCTAAGCAAGTCATCACATTGCCAACAGTGGTCAAGTTTGGAGCAAGGTGATCAAAAGTAGCAATTGCATCCATTGCATAGTCTTCCTGATCCATGGAGGTAGACAATATTTGCTCTCTGGTCAAGCTCAAGTGGGGCTGAGCCCCAGTTCATCAGCTGTATTCCATGTGTACATACATCTAGCTGTCCATACCTTGGAGGGATTGCATGGCAAGGGATCCGAAGCAAAGAAGTGCACTCTCGGACAGGCTTCTTTGGGCTGAGTGTACAGCATGGGTTTGCTTGAGTGGTCAATTTGCTAGGAGGAATTGTGAGAAAGATGCACAGAATGACCTTACATACCTTAGAGCTGCTACCATCAATGGTCTTGAGAGTTGAATGAATTACCTTGGGGGTCTCTTGGGTGATTTGAAAGAGTGGTTTGCCCTTGTTCTCCTGTTAGGGCAACACAGGCTGACTAAGTCTGCTCACCTAAGAGTGCCAAGAGTCTAAGCAGGCAACAAGGAAGTGGAGTAGACCTGATGACTAAGACCTATCTACAGTATAGGTACCTGTGGATGATCCTAAGAGACCAAGTCTGAAGAGACAGTCCCCAGGCAGAGTAGGCCTTATATTTATACCTCTGTGGTGGAACCTGCTAGAACATCTTGCTTACTCAGCCTAGTC